TCGCTTTGAAATTGTTGAGTTTCTTAATCAAGAATTCGTTAAAATTTTAAAAATATGAAATAGGTAATAAAACAAATTCGAAATTCAAGATTTGGGCTTCCAGATTCGGGTGGAGGACTACGTTATTTAAAATTTTATGGCTATAGGTATCGTTGTTTCTTTACAGTGCGAGAAATATACATGTATGCGTGCAGATTCTTCGTTATTTAATTTCTTTAAAAATAAAGCAAGGCGACAATATTTGGTGGTAACGATTTGCAAAGTGATACGCTGTTTATAGTGAAGCAATGCAAAATCCCATTTTGAGACTAATAGTTCCTTTTGGGGTAATACCTGAAGCATGTATTCTAACTCCATCTATTCAACGTTAAAATGACATCATTTTCATTCGCGTTTTTGTGAAATTTCCCCTTTCCCTTGAAAAACGCAAATGTAAACTAGTTTCATCTATAACAGTTTTTTTAGGAAGACATGCCTCCAGTAGACAAACAGCCCTCAAATTTTCTCCCGAATTAATTAAACCAGAATGTTTAAGCTACCGTAATGTTTATGAGCATAAGAAAAGCAATACTGTGTAATAGTAATAATCTCACAATCGTAATACACACACTTTATGACCAAGGTTTGGAAAACCTAAATGAAACACTAAATTACACTGATGCAAACAGAGAAACTGAATGTTTAAGGAGACTTAAGTGTTTTAATTGTTGTCGACTTCCTTCAGAAGTTAATTGTCTGGGATGAAAAACGTAAAAGTGGGGAGCTAAAGGAAAAAATGAAATGAAACAAACATAAGAAAAGAACTCGGGAAAAGAGAAAAAATAAGAAGGATCTCTAGTGTGAATGGAAAAAAATGCAAAAAACATGTTTTCGCTGCTAAAGGGATAACAATCAAAAGAAATCTCCTTTCTTACATTGTTCTTTTCCACCGGAAACATAATACGATCTTCATTACTACACGGTATTTCATGATCTTGCGAATTCTTTTGCTTTTTCTGCCACTATTATTAGGCGGAAAACTTGTTTCTTGCTGAGTTCCAAGGAAAATAAATATTTCTAATATACTCCGTAACTCTATACCTCCGAAAATCATTTAGATTACGAAAAGATGCGGCTATATGATATTTGCGAGGAGCTAACACCATTTTTTTTGTTTAAATAAATATTCTAATATACTCCGTAAACTCTATACCTCCGAAATCATTTAGATTACGAAAAGATGCGGCTATATGATATTTGCGGAGAGCTTACACCATTTTTTTGTTTTTAAATAAATATTTCTAATATACTCCGTAACTCTATACCTCGAAAATCATTTAGATTACGAAAAGATGCGGCTATATGATATTTGCGGAGAGCTATACACCATTTTTTTTTGTTAAATAAATATTTCTAATATACTCCGTAACTCTATACCTCCGAAAATCATTTAGATTACGAAAAGATGCGGCTATATGATATTTGCGGAGAGCTATATACACCATTTTTTTTTTTTTTTTAAATAATATTCTAATATACTCCGTAACTCTTATAAACTCCGAAAATCATTTAGATTACGAAAAGATGCGGCTATATATGATATTTGCGGAGAGCTATACACCATTTTTTTGTTTAAATAATATTTCTAATATACTCCGTAACTCTATACCTCCGAAAATCATTTAGATTACGAAAAGATGCGGCTATATGATATTTGCGGAGAGCTATACACCATTTTTTTTGTTTAAATAAATATTTCTAATATACTCCGTAACTCTATACCTCCGAAAATCATTTAGATTACGAAAAGATGCGGCTATATGATATTTGCGGAGAGCTATACACCATTTTTTTTGTTTAAATAAATATTTCTAATATACTCCGTAACTCTATACCTCCGAAAATCATTTAGATTACGAAAAGATGCGGCTATATGATATTTGCGGAGAGCTATACACCATTTTTTTTGTTTAAATAAATATTTCTAATATACTCCGTAACTCTATACCTCCGAAAATCATTTAGATTACGAAAAAGATGCGGCTATATGATATTTGCGGAGAGCTATACACCATTTTTTTTGTTTAAATAAATATTTCTAATATACTCCGTAACTCTATACCTCCGAAAATCATTTTAGATTACGAAAAGATGCGGCTATATGATATTTGCGGAGAGCTATACACCATTTTTTTTTTTTTAAAATAAATATTTCTAATATACTCCGTAACTCTATACCTCCGAAAATCATTTAGATTACGAAAAGATGCGGCTATATGATATTTGCGGAGAGCTATACACCATTTTTTTTGTTTAAATAAATATTTCTAATATACTCCGTAACTCTATACCTCCGAAAATCATTTAGATTACGAAAAAGATGCGGCTATATGATATTTGCGGAGAGCTATACACCATTTTTTTTGTTTTTTTTAAATAAATATTCTAATATACTCCGTAACTCTATACCTCCGAAAATCATTTAGATTACGAAAAGATGCGGCTATATGATATTTGCGGAGAGCTATACACATTTTTTTTTGTTTTAATAAATATTTCTAATATACTCCGTAACTCTATACCTCCGAAAATCATTTAGATTACGAAAAGATGCGGCTATATGATATTTGCGGAGAGCTATATATACACCATTTTTTTTGTTTAAATAAATATTTCTAATATACTCCGTAACTCTATACCTCCGAAAATCATTTAGATTACGAAAAGATGCGGCTCTATATGATATTTGCGGAGAGCTATACACCATTTTTTTTGTTTAAATAAATATTTCTAATATACTCCGTAACTCTATACCTCCGAAAATCATTTAGATTACGAAAAGATGCGGCTATATGATATTTGCGGAGAGCTATACACCATTTTTTTTTTTTAAATAAATATTTCTAATATACTCCGTAACTCTATACCTCCGAAAATCATTTAGATTACGAAAAGATGCGGCTATATGATATTTGCGGAGAGCTATACACCATTTTTTTGTTTAAATAAATATTTCTAATATACTCCGTAACTCTATACCTCCGAAAATCATTTAGATTACGAAAAGATGCGGCTATATGATATTTGCGGAGAGCTATACACCATTTTTTTTGTTTAAATAAATATTTCTAATATACTCCGTAACTCTATACCTCCGAAAATCATTTAGATTACGAAAAGATGCGGCTATATGATATTTGCGGAGAGCTATACACCATTTTTTTTGTTTAAATAAATATTTCTAATATACTCCGTAACTCTATACCTCCGAAAATCATTTAGATTACGAAAAGATGCGGCTATATGATATTTGCGGAGAGCTATACACCATTTTTTTTGTTTAAGCCTTCGGATATTTTCAATTTCATTTGTATTTATTTAGGCTGCGTTTTTCTTTATTGTGTGAAGTGCGTCTTCAAACGCTCAGTTTTCCTACTAAGTTTGTTTTTAATAATGTAAAGTTATGGATGTTTTTCGCATTGAAATGTTGATTAAAGTCGTTTTGGAGAGCACAGAAAAAGTTTTTTCCATTTCATATTTAAATTTATTTCTTTTTCTTTTTCATTTTAATATTTTTTTTTATAATACAGAGGGTTGTTTGTATCATTCCCAGAACATTGTCTTTCTCTTCAAAACTGGCGTTTCTCTTTTTTCCCATTGTTTATGAAAGGGGCTAGTAGTTTTAAATGTCACGCTGGACTGCAAGATATTCCTTAATTGCAGTGAATCTGTATATTCACTAGTTATAAATGCGCGTGTGTAATTGCAATTTTTCTTCCGTTTTATGGGTTCTGACGTTACGAAACTTGATTGCTATTCGAAACAAGCTAAACATTTATAAATGAATAGTAAAAAACAATTAGTACAAAAATGTTTTTATTTTCTTTGCGGTTAAAAACTGTGCGCGTCTGTTTGTTTGTTTGTGGCATCACTTCCTAAGGAACGGCGGGGAGTTGAGTTTCGAAAGAGGTACCTTCGGATTCCCAAAATTTGTGGGAAGCCATTTCGACAATTCTTATCTTCTTACAACTTATTATTAACAACTATTAAATTAAGGTATAAAACAGCCGAGATATTAATTAAATATTGTAAATTTTATATTCTTTGGCTAATTTCATTTTTAAATTTTTCTTAATTTTATACTAAGAAAATCCTAAGTAGTGAAGTAAAGCTTTTGTCTATCAAAGTACTTTAAAATACGATGAAAATAAAATTAATAATTAATGTAAATATTTGTGTGGATAAACATAGTAATATACCATATATCGAAATAAAATAAAATTAAATGCAAATATTAACCGATTAAACATTGCTCGAATCTTCATATAACAATCTACAAATATCTGCGATAAAACACGACAACTCACATCAATTGTAATTTTAAAAGATCAATAAAATTTAATAAGAAATAAAATACATATGAAATGAAATTTAATAAGAAAATTTTTTTTCTGAAATTCGTTAGAAGGGGAAGGGAGGAATGGAATTTCCCTAATTTAAGTTACATTAATTCAATAAATTTCATTTATTGCTACGAAACATTTTTCTTAACAAGGATAAAAATTAACCTTTTCAAGGTCATCGACGAGCTCAGCTGGTATTCCATTTACGCACTACTGTGGACGCAAACGAACACAGTTCGCAATACGAATTTAGGATTGACAGATTTCGAGCGTATAATATGACAACCACCGAAGTGTTAAAAATCGGGAGATGTGAAGAAAAACCGGTAGCTGCCAGCTAGATAAAGATTCTAAGATTTAGAATTAAGGGTGAATGGAAAAAAATCAACAGAATGCAAAGGAAGGAAGCATTCTGTTAACTTTTCTATTGCTTCTCATATTTAAAAAAAAAGAATAAGCAATATAATTGAGTACTATGTTTATTGAGAAAAGTATACTGTTAAATTAAGGTATTATAATATTAAATTAACAAGAAAAATTAATTTGATATGCATCTAACTTTAAAGGGGACATTCAACCTAACTTTATATAAATGGATGTTTATTTATTTCTTTTCAGATCTGGATCTCGAAATGCGGGAAAAAAGATTCAGGATCCTCAGTGCTTCAATAAAAGCACAAGCACTACAAATGAGTTTCTCGATAGTTGTACCTAATCTTCTTTGCCATCCTTTTGGAAGTCAATACGCATGTGCAGAGTAGAGGATTAGTTTGCGGCAGATTTCCCAAGTGAGAAAACCTAAATCCCACTCACTGCAAACTAAGTGCACTAATCCTCGTATCCCTTTTTACTCTTCCTCTTACACATAAGTTCCATTCCTCTGCCTGCTTTGGAGGAAGATTTTGAAATGGTGTATGAATGTTTGGTGTATTACTAAGTTCTTAAAATGGCTTAGGTTCTTCGATGAAGAATCACACAAATACTACAGAAAGTTAAGAAATTTTTATGGGGTTATTTCTAAATGTAATTGTAGCAACGAAAAGAAAATTAAAGGTTTTTTAAAATTGATTTGGCATGTATGCTATCATTAATTAAAAGTTCTGCAATAATTGCTTAATTAATTATTGAAAGTATTTAAAAAATTTACTAATTATCAACTAACCTGTGCGTACTGATATGAGGAATTCAGGATAAATTTATCAATTTACATTCTTGTGCAAGCATTCTATTATAATTCCTCTACAATACGATTGCTTCAAGCGATAAATATACATAAAATTCAAATTGAAAATCATCTAACATAATTAATGAGTTATTAGCAGAAAAGTGTTCGGAATTTTCAAAGATAATCAGTAAGGCATTACTAACTTGCAATGCTTCCTTTTTTTTTTTTTTTTTTTTTTTTCTATTTCTATTTCTTCTAAAAATGTACTCTGCGGGAAAAAAAAAAAAAAAAAAAAAAAAGGCAGGTCTGTATCTCTAGTCCTACTGGGCTAATTGACGAAACTCAAATTGCGTTTTCCATGTCTCGAAAGCGTGACTTAGGATATATATTAGATTTATATATAACTTTGTTCTAACACAGGTATTATGACACAAATTTGGGCTTTTTCTGAAATAACATACCAATTTTTTCCATATTATATATCAAATTTTGCTCAGATATTAGATTTCTTAATTTTTGGTGAGAAATTTATGGAGAAATTTAAAAATTTATCTTGGCGAATTTTTTCAGTTTGCCAAGAATAATTCACATGGCAAACTTCTTAATTCGTAGCAACCTATTTCCTTTTCTTTTCTTCACTGTAGACGAATGGGCAAAGATCATCGTTCGTTATTTCAAATAATTTTAACAAAGTGGGTATTATAGTTTGGCGTTATTAAGGCTAAAAAAAATGCCACATTTCAAAACGCTCCGATATGTAAATTCATGTACATCTTAGAAAATTTTGAATAAATTTTTTTTTCTGTTTTGCCTAGAAATACATCTATTTTAAGATGTTAAACATTTTATAGGTTATAATGCAAAATTTTATAAAAAATATTAAAAAATACAAATTTTGGAAATAAATCATAAAAATGTGCGAATTATATTTGGATTAAGTCTAAATTTTGAATTCTGGAAGAAGAAATCAAGTAAGTTTAATAAAACAAGAGATATTAATAAATATATATAAAATTCAATTAACATAGAGAACCTAAAATTTTGAGAGCTAATTTTCTAAAACTTACTCGTGCGACTTTTACAAAACTTGGCAGTTTGGCATACTTTGAATCGTAGAATCAAAATATGGGAAAAAATCTGATGTGTACACCACATGACTTCCTTGTATTGGAATATTAAATTGGAATATTAAATTATACGCATTTTTCTTGCATTTCATTTAAACTTATTGGATTGAATTAAATCTACTTCGCCGACAGCGCATAAACCACAATAGAATAAATGCATTCTTTAAAATTCACTCTAGTATTTGTTTACCATAGCGAAACTCTGGCGCTAGATTCACTTAACAGTATTAATAATTATATAACAGTTAACTTATATAATAATTATATAACGGAAACTAAGTTAACTGTTATATAATCCAATAATTATATAACAGTTAACTTATATATTTCGTTCATATTATAACTCTTAATGCACAAAATTTATATCATTTAAAGAAAAGAATTATCTAATCGTTGCCACATGTTCTATTCAAATACTATAATAAAGCTAGAACGATGTATAAAATAAATTAAGTAAACAAAACAAAAAAAAAAAAAAAAAAAAAAAGAAACAGTTTTTCACAGACGATTGAGTATTTCTCATTTAATTAATTCAGTTCTCACTTCGCGAGAAGGAGAAATACATAAAAACTCAAAATATCTATATTAAAAATTACGAAGTAAATCTCAAACACTTATTTCCTCGAAAAAATTCCAGAAAGAATTAAGCATGATTTAATTGGCAATAATAAATGAATGCGTTATCTTTGTTGTTGCGAAGCTAAGTTTCTCTAGTTTGGCAACAAATCCACTAGTTTCCTGTTTCAAATGTAAACATCAATGGCCGCCATTAAAAAAGGCTTAGCGGCAATTAAACAACTTTAAAATTGCTGATAATTCTAAAAATATTGCACACAGATTTACTAAAGGCATAGAATCCTTAACCGGAAGATAAAAACAACATAATTCAATCATTTTTAAAGCAAAAAAAGGTACAATTTACCAACATATAAGAGTAAAGAAACTGAGATTACTGAGTGGAACAGAATGGATATATATATAAATATATTTATATACGTTTGGTGCGGCCGATTGCAAACCAAAATACGAGGTGCACATCTACATGTTATAGCAGTCCTATATACAAAATTTCAACGTTCTGAGGCTACTCGTTTTTGAGTTATGCGAGATACGTACGTACGGACGAACGTGCGTATGTACGTACATACGTTCGTACAGACACCACGAAAAATTCTTTTCAGAATTAATTTTAAAGCAGTTTTATAGTTTTTTTTGAAGGGAAAGAGTATTTTATTCGGTTCTTACGTACAGATATCACGCCATCGTTAAATTGCATTCGATAGCGGTCAAAATGGATATTTTCGTTGAAATATGCTGCCTGAAACTTTTCGCGATTACAATACTTCCTTTTTACTTCGTACAAGGAAGTAAAAATGGGCATTTAATTTCAGAAAAAATCCGATTTTGTGTCAAAATTCTTATATTAGAACAAAGCTATATATAAATCTAGTACATATCCTAAGTCGCGCTTTCGAGACATGAAAAACGCAATTTGAATTTCGTCAACCGGCCCAGTAGAACGGGAGATATAGAATTTCCCTTCCCCCTTTGTCTTTTAGTCCAAAGGGTTTTGTCCCTGAAGGACTATTGTTTTCGTTTTGCGATTTTGCGTTGGTTCACTATAATGTCCGTTTAACTTTTCAAACTGTTGCCACGAAATGATAGAGTCCTGCATTATATTTGAAGAAATTAAATAATGAAAAATCTGCATATATGCATGTATATTTCTCGCATTGTGATAAAACAACAGTACATAGAGCCATCGAATTTTGAATGACGTAACTCTACTCTGAATACGGCATATGGAAGCCCAAATCTGAAATTTGGAATTTGTTTTATTACCGGTTTAATATTTTGTAAAACTTTAATGAAGTCTTGATTAACAAACTCAAGGATTTCAAAGTGAGCCATGGCAGCGTTGTACTGGAAAAAAAAAAACTTTTATCTCCAGCGCGCGAAACTGTGTATTGGAAGTTGTATAGATATCCTCAATTTAAAACTATTTAGCGATATTGCTTTTGAACTGAATTTTATGGTTTAAGTGCGAAGAACGTGATATTTAATAAATAAAGGTAAGACAAAATGGTAAAAAGAAAACCCTTTGTACGTAATTTAAAATCTAAAACCTTTCAGTTTTTTTTTCTCAGTGCGCATAAATTTATTTTAATATAATATTACTCTCCTTATTTATAATCAGGGCCGGATTAGGACTTTTAGAAGCCCTAAGCACTTGAAAGGTTTTGATGCCCCCCCACGGGCATTTACTACTAGCTGCATCATTTCGTGGTAAAAACGGCAATGGAAATATTTTTATTTGTGGTGTCATCATGCCTTGATGCCCTAAGCACGTGCTTATTTTATTTAACGGTTAATCCAGCTCTGTTTCTAGTACTAGAACTAGCTTCCTTGACGAGAATAATTTCTTCTTAATCGTTAGTTTGCTAGTTTAATAAGGGTTCTCTAGTAGCAGCAGTAGACCAGGACATTCGAAATGAAGTATTACCGAATGGCATCGCATTAAATGCGTATAATTCTAGTCTACTATACAAAAAATGGTTCCCATATGATAACCGTGGGCTAAAATGCTTGAGATGAAGTTATTGCTTGTACTGACCAGCAATCTAATATTCAAGGATTTGCCTACTTTAAAAAAACTGTCAGCAACCTCAACATAGCGAGCCTCGTGACGCGGATAGTTATATCTTTTAACTTATATATTTAGGTTGTTAACTTGTATGACGATGCTATTTGAAATAAAATTATTTTCAATTTGTTATTGTTTTATAAATCCTAATTTTTTATCATTTTTCATTTATACTCATTATTTTATATACCTAATTTTATACCGAATTTGCACTTATTATTAGCTAATTAAATTTGTCGTAAGCTTTTGAATGATTATAAGAAAAATGTCACTAAAACTCATCGAGTTATTACTAAACTATGATATATTTACATAAATTAAAATGAACAGAAAAGAAAAAAGAATGTTACATCCCGCATCGAAATCAAAAGTTGACCATAGGATTTTGAATCCTCTTGGAAATAGTTGAACGTGACTAATCCAAATGCAATGATAATAAGAATACAATCCACATCGGTTGATAATAAGAATATTACACTAAGGAGAATTCATGAAATCGAAAGGAACTACGGAGCAGGAGCTTTAACACTTCTGACGCCAAAATTAATATATAAAAAACATCACTGGTAATTATCACTAAAATTAATCGAGTTATTACTAAACTACGATTTATTTACGTAAAATTAAAATGAAAAGAAAAGAAAACAGAATGATACATTGAGCGTTTTCATTCGTCATCGTTAACATATCGTCTGCGCCGTCATCTAGATGGCGCGTGAAAGTTTCGCCATACAGTTAAAAGAGTTACAGTTGTATGGCACAGTATTGTGTTATTAATTTTGATATGTAGTATTTTATCTGAACCTTAAATTCAAACTATATTCTGTTTAGTTTGCCTTTTGACTCAGTAAAAGTATTATGATTTTGTACTAGGGCTATTTAAGGTTGCATATGGATCTTCTATAAAGGCACTAGAGAAGGACTATGGACTGCCTATGGAAACAGTCGACTTACGATCTCTTGTATATCATCAGATTTGTATCTGAAAGGCGTAATTTATGGTACTAGTGCTGAATGTATCCAACTGAGATACTTTTCAATCGGAGTTGCAATTTTCCTTTAA